GCCTGCCGTCGGACCGCCGCCCGGCCGTGCCTTCAGCCGGACCACCGCCCGGTCACTGCCTGCAGCCGGACTTCAGACCGACCTTCGTCGGACTACCGCTCAGCTGCCGCCCGTCGCTAGAACATCGCCCGGTCCCCGCCTACCAGACCTCAGCCCGACCTTCGTCAGACTACCGCCCGGTCGCCACCTGCTGGACGAAAAAAAGATTTACTTCTTCAGACCGTCTCCAGACATTCGACCGTCTCTCCAAATCACTGTAATTCGACCGCCTCTAAATCGAGGGACGGGTCAACCCTTGTAATTCACTCAAGTTTAGTGGAATATTTTCACTTGGGCAAGGCCCCGTGGTTTTTCCCTCTTCGGGCTTTCCACGTAAAAAAGATTTGGTGTTCTACTTCTCTCTTTCTGCTTGCGTGTTGGATATTCGTGCATTGCTAAGACTAAACATTTACTCACTCTACCGCCACGAATCTTTCAGACCGCAACAACCCTATTTCTGATTTCAAAGATATTATGTTTTTGACATTTTTATCAATCTTGTATTTTCGTTATCGAAAAATGTGAATAACTTTGTATTGACAAAATTTTCACCTCGTAATTTTTTATATATTGTAGAGATCATGATAATGAATATTTTGAGTATTTATTTGATATTTTTCACCAGGTGATTTTAATAATACAATAATTTTTATCTACATATAAATTTATTTTGACGTCTAAAAATCGTAGTGTAGAACAATAAAAGTCTTAAAATATCATTTTATACAATTGCTGATATTTTAGTAATTTTTTGAAATTGTTTATTTTTACATAATAGGATTCTCTGTTTTCTATCGTTATGACATTTTGACATCTTCTTAATTAAGCTCAATTATGCATTTTTTGCTGTAATGCATTGGAAATGTGTGTGGATATGTGCTTGAGTAATAGATGGTCGTTATTACTGTTATAGTTTTATGAAAATAATGTACGTGTGTGAAACAAATAAGTAAAGACTGTTTGACCCGTTGATTGGAGACTGATTGACCTATACAGAATAGTGGACCGACAAACTTTCTTTTAAATATTGTGGTTTGGTATTATCCTCAACTAATTCACGTGATACACTAATTATGAGTTAAAAGGAGATCATTACTGTGCTAACGGGCAAAGAGTGATGACTTTGTTTAATGAGCCAACGGTTTAATAACACTGATACTAACATTTAAAGACACCGTGATAGTCAGGACTTCTTACTTATTTAGTGCGACTATTTAAATGCATATTCTTGATACATTATTCTTATTATTATATAGATTTATTGTTATTGTATGAATTTATTATTATTGCATTATTATACTGCTTCTACCACTGGATTCTTACTATTATTGATATAAATACTGATACTATTTGATACTATTGATTCACTTTACTGATATTAAGCATGTTACATACTAAGCATGTGATATAGAATAATTGGATAACATGTGTACATTCATATATGATTTTATTACATTGATTTGATTTCGATAATTTTTATTGATACTTTATATGATTTTTGTACTGATTGGTATTACTGATACAATAATTACTTTATATATTTGACACTCATGTTGGATTATTGATTTACTGTCTTTCATGATGTAGTGTTTTACTATTTCTAGATTATGCTACTATTGCATGTGAATTTTATTATTTCTATACTAATTCAATGATCATATGAATGCTAATGTTATTATTTGATTGTTGATATGTATATTTCTATTTTATCGTGCTTTGAATTCAATTGTAGGTTTTGATGATCTGCTGGGCTTTTTAAGCTCATTATATGTGGTTAAATTATTTCAGATCATGGCAGAGGAGCACGAGTATGAGGCTAGTCAGAATTCTTTAGGTTATGTTTCTTTTTGTTATAGTCATAAGTAGTGCATATAATTTTTGAGAATAAATACATATGTGTACATCGATGTTTTAAATTATATAATATGTTTTGTTATTTATTACTGATAGATGATATTAGATTGCTCTGGTTGTTATTTATTAAATGATAAAAATAATTCTTTCAATTTAGATTCTTGAGCATCACACCCTTGATCTGAAAAATAAAAGCAAAACGGCTCTGTATGTTATCACAGTCTAAAAT